AGAGACAGCACAGGAAGTGAAGCAGGATGTTGGAGCCGCACCACCCAAACCCCAACTAAACTGTGAAGGAGAGTCGCAGCAGCACGAGGCAGCCACCAGCAGCAGCAGCAGCAACAGCAGCAACAGCAGCAGCAGCAGCAGCAGCAGCAGCAACAGTGCAGCACGTTTGGTCCCCCTCCCTCGTCGGTTCTCTGCTGCTCCTGACCCTGCAGCAGTGCTGCAGCGAGAGCAGCAGCTAGACGCCTACATATCATCTATAGCAGCAAACTCATCAGCAGCAGCAGCAGCAGCAGCAGCAGCAACACAAGAAGCCTGGTTAGATCCTTCTTCTTCTTTTTTCTCTCAGCTTGATTCACAGCAACAAACAAACAAACAAACAAAAACACAAACAGCACACACACAAAGCAATACACACCAACACAAACCCTCTACTCTGCCTGGGGGCCCCCCTTCTACTGCTACGGGGGCCCCCCTGCGCACCCCTCGAACCCCCCACCCCCAGCGGTCCCCTGGCAGGGCTTCACCGCGTCACAGGACCCAGGGGGCCCCCGGGGCCCCCGGGGCCCCTGGGGCCCCCGGGGCCCCCGGGGCCTCGCTGTCGAAGGGGCCCCCGGGGGCCCCGGTATCGAAGGGTTCTCCAGGTGCTGCAGCAGGCCGCGGGTCCCCTCGGGGCCCCCCCCATCAGGGTGCCCCTGTTGAGGGCCCCCCCATGGAGGGGCCCCCCTTGGAGGGGGCCCCTGTGGTTGGGGGCCCCCTGCTGCCTGGGTATGTGTTTGTATCTCGTGCTACGTTGCTGCAGCGGTGCCGGGTAGAGAAGACAAGCATTGAGGATAGTGGTGGGGTCTGTGTTTCTCTGCAGTGCCAGCTGTGGCAGCAGATGGTACAGTCGAGCGGAGACAGAAAAGTTTTTGAGTTTTGTTTTGGTTTGGGGGCCCCCCTTTATGCTGATGTAGGAAAAGGAAACGAAAAAAGAAGAATACAAAATACACTCAGAAGAGTTAAAGAACATTTAGAGGTTAGCGCTCACGCTCTTACTCTTTTTTTTTTTTTTTTTTTTTTTTTTTTTTTTTTTTTTTTTTTTTTTTTTTTTTTTTTTTTTTT